TAAAAGAGACACCAGTGGATGCAGTACAACAGCCAGGATACATCTACATCTGCGAGAACTCAGCATCACACGAAGGGGGTAAGATACAAGCCACAGCCAGGCGGGACACAAACGCTCCCCCACCCCAAAACCGGCCGGAAGAAAGGAGTCGGAATGGGGAGGGAGTGAAAGCCCAGGACTGCTAAACAAGCTCTAGAAATCCGCACCTAGAACACAGACACAAGGCACATGGGGTGCTGGATATTAGGGAAATGGAAAAGCAAAACCTGTGGGCAGTTCCCCGCAACCGGCGCCCCTGAGACAAAAGAAAGGCGAGTGCTTTCTGCAAGTCTTAAAGACACAGGGACCCCATAGCTGGACGAAGTTGTCCCAGTAGCAGGGAATACTGGGGAAACTTAGGCACCCTAAATGGAGGTAGGGCAGCTCTGAAGCCCCTCACAGCACTAGGCAGCCTGCCAGTCGTTTCCCCAACTGGTACGGACCCCGACACACGGGCCCAGTAGCAGGAGAGTGGGAGCGCACGCCAGGGACAGCAGCACCGTTAGGAACCGAGAGCAGATCCATGCGCTGCAGGAGAGGCTTGTGCTAGCCCGCAGTGGCACAACCGAACAGCCTGGGCATGGCTCACATGCACCTGCGGCAGTGAAGCCAGAGCCTGGTAGAAGCCTGCGCGGAAGAGCCCCGCGCACACCTGCAGCGGAGCCAGAGGGAGCAGGCGCACTCCCAGGAGCCGACTGGAATCCCAGCCCAATGCACAGCTGCCCAGGCCAGACCCAAAGGCCACTGTTGCCACACAGCTGCCCAGCAGGGTCGCTGCTAGCATGGAGGAGCAGACCTGGCGTACCTGCCACTCCCCGCAGGGCTCTGCGCTGCTCTGATGGACACCCCGCCCACAGCAGCTTAGGAGATTAACCCAGTGGCTGCTCCAGGAGTGCAGGTAACTGTCACAGGCAGCGGAGAAGGGCAAGGCATCCAGTAAGCAGGAAAGGACCTTCGTATCCCAGCTGACACACCCACAACCTGCCTACAGCCACTGCTATCACCATGAAAAGGCAAAAAAATCTGGTCCACTCCAAGACAGTTACACCTGGGAAAGGATCTGCAGAGGCAGACCTAACCATTCTCCCTGAAAAAGAATTCAAAATAAAAATCATAAACATGATCACAGAGCTGCAGAGAAATATGCAAGAGCTAAGGGATGAAGTCCGGAAGGAGATTACAGACGTCCAAAGGGAGATTACAGAAGTGAAAGAAACTCTGGAAGGATTTATAAGCAGAATGGATAAGATGCAAGAGGCCATTGATGGAATAGAAACCAGAGAACAGGAACATATAGAAGCTGATACAGAGAGAGATAAAAGGATCTCCAGGAATAAAACAATATTAAGAGAACTGTGTGACCAATCCAAAAGGAACAATATCCACATTATAGGGGTACCAGAGGAAGAAGAGAGAGAAAAAGGGATAGAAAGTGTCTTTGAAGAAATAATTGCTGAGAACGTCCCCAAAATGGGGGAGGAAATAGTTGCTCAGATTACGGAGGCACACAGAACTCCTGAGAGATGGGATCCAAAGAAGACAACACCAAGACACATAATAATTAAAATGGCAAAGATCCAGGACAGGGACAGAGTACTAAAGGCAGCCAGAGAGAGTAAAAAGGTCACCTACAAAGGAAAACCCATCAGGCTATCATCAGACTTCTCAACAGAAACCTTACAGGCCAGAAGAGAATGGCATGATATATTTAATGCAATGAAACAGAAAAGCCTTGAACCAAGGATACTGTATCCAGCACGATTATCATTTAAATATGAAGGAGGGATTAAACAATTCCCAGACAAGCAAAAGTTGAGGGAATTTGCCTCCCACAAACCACCTCTACAGGGTATCTTAGAGGGACTGCTCTAGATGGGAGCACTCCTAAAAAAAGCACAGAACAAAACACCCAACATATGAAGAATGGAGGAGGAGGAAAAAGAAGGGAAAGAAATAATCAACAGACAGTGTTTATAACAGCTCAATAAGCGAGTGAGGTCAGACAGTAAGGTAGTAAACAAGCTAACCTTGAACTTTTGGTAACCACAAATCTAAAGCCTGCAATGGCAATAAGTACATATCTTTCAATAATCACCCTAAATGTAAATGGACTGAATGCACCAATCAAAAGACACAGAGTAATAAAACAGATAAAAAAGCAAGACACTCTTAAGAGAAATTAAAGAGGACACTAACAAATAGAAACTCATCCCATGCTCTTGGGTAGGAAGAATTAATATCATCAAAATGGCCATCCTGCCCAAAGCAATATACAGATTCGATGCAATCCCATCAAATCACCAACAGCATTCTTCAATGAACTGGAACAAATAGTTCATAATTCATATGGAACCGTCAAAGACCCCGAATAGCCAATGCAATCCTGAGAAGGAAAAATAAAGTGGGAGGGATCTCACTCCCCAACTTCAAGCTCTACTACAAAGCCACAGTAATCAAGACAATTTGGTACTGGCACAAGAACAGAGCCACAGACCAGTGGAACAGAATAGAGACTCCAGACATTAACCCAAACATATATGGCCAATTAATATTTAATAGAGGAGTCATGGACATACAATGGGGAAATGACAGTCTCTTCAACAGATGGTGCTGGCAAAACTAGACAGCTACATGTAAGAGAATGAAACTGGATCACTGTCTAACCCCATACACAAACGTAAATTTGAAATGGATCAAAGACCTGAATGTAAGTCATGAAACCATAAAACTCTTAGAAAAAAACATAGGCAAAAATCTCATGGACATAAACATGAGTGACTTCTTCATGAACATATCTCCCCAGGCAAGGGAAACAAAGGTAAAAATGAACAAGTGGTACTATATCAAGCTAAAAAGCTTCTGTACAGCAAAGGACACCATCAATAGAACAAAAAGGTATCCTACAGTATGGGAGAACATATTCATAAATGACAGATCCGATAAAGGATTGACATCCAAAATATATAAAGAGCTCACACGCCCCAACAAACAAAAGCAAATAATCCAATTAAAAAATGGGCAGAGGATCTGAATACAGTTCTCTAAAGAAGAAATCCAGATGGCCAACAGGCACATGAAAAGATGCTCCACATCGCTAATCATCAGAGAAATGCAAATTAAAACCACAATGAGATATCACCTCATACCAGTAAGGATCGCTATCATCGAAAAGACAAACAACAAATGTTGGCGAGGTTGTGGAGAAAGGGGAACCCTCCTACACTGCTGGTGGGAATGTAAACTAGTTCAACCATTGTGGAAAGCAGTATGGAGGTTCCTCAGAATGCTTAAAATAGAAATACCATTTGACCTAGGAATTCCACTTCTAGGAATTTACCCTAAGAATGCAGCACTGCAGTTTGAAAAAGACAGAGGCACCCCTATGTTTATCGCTGCACTGTTTACAATAGCCAAGATATGGAAGCAACCTAAATGTCCATCAGTAGATGAATGGATAAAGAAGATGTGGTACATATACACAATGGAATATTACTCAGCCATAAGAAAAAAACAGATCCTACCATTTGCAACAACATAGATGGAGCTAGAGGGTATTATGCTCAGTGAAATAAGCCAAGCGGAGAAAGACAAGTACCAAATGATTTCACTCATATGTGGAGTATAAGAACAAAGGAAAACTGAAGGAACAAAACAGCAGCAGTATCACAGAACCCAAGAATGGACTAATAGTTACCAAAGGGAAAGGGACTGAGGACAATGGGTGGGAAGGGAGGGATAAGGGCGGGGAAAAAGAAAGAGGGCATTACGATTAGCAAGTATAGTGCGTGGTGGGCACGGGGAGAGCTGCACAACACAGAGAAGACAAGTAGTGATTTTAAAGCATCTTACTACGCAGATGGACAGTGACTGTGAAGGGGTATGTGGCGGGGACTTGGTGAAGGGGGGAACCTAGTAAACAATGTTCTTTCTGTAATTGTAGATTAATGATACCAAAATTAAAAAAAGAGGATATTGCAATTTAATCCAGTGATAAATAAGGTCTTGAGCTGGGGTGTGGATGTGGGAAGTTAGGGAGATGAAAAGGCAAAGGCGAAGTCTAGCTTCGGAGACTGGGTAGATGAGGACAACCATTAATCATATTTAGAGATAAGAGTAGCCAGAGGACAGGGGTATGGGTGCAGGAACCGATAATAAGTTCGGTTTGAGACCTGTTGAATGTGAAGTGAGGCTGCTCAAGATGGAATCCTGGAGAATATCAATAACTAAAGGGAGGCCAGAAGAGCCAGAAGATAAAATTGGTCAGCGACCGCACTGTCAGCATGAACTGCACATGGGGGTTTCGGGCGGGGGATGGGGGGGAAACAATCATCAACTAATCATTCCTTTCCGTGACACGAGCCCTCCACCCAAGTCTTCAACATGCCTAAAGCGGTTTTCTGCTTCTTGTAGAGAAAGCCTTTCCCCCCTTTTGCTCTCTCTTAACTGAAAAAGGAAAAGGCCAGCATCTCCCAACACGGTCACCTGGGCGACGCCGAATCACAGGCAGGAGGTAGGAAGCGAGGGAGAGGAGGAAAAGCTTTCTAAAGAAAAGAAAAAGTTCGCAACGACCTCTTGTAGTTGAAGTTCCACCTCCCTATATCCTGCCACGCCGCTCCCCGGCCGTCTTTATCAGGCTCCTGGAAGGGAAGCAGGACGGGAAATGTAGTCCTCAAGAATGACCGGGGTGGCAAGACTGAAGAACTCGGTTTCCCAACGGGCTCTCCAGGCGCGTGCGCAGATGGCTGTCCCGGCGAGTGGTAAACAGAGACGTCAGGCTGGGGCTGTTGCTTGGAGCAAAACAAAAAGGAAACCCGGGGGGCGGGAAATAGCGGGGATCTGGTAGGGAGACTGGTGCCGGAATCAGAGAGGCTGTGGCCGCGAGGACTTGGGCCCTATTAAGAGTGGAGGGACTGGAAGAGGCGGGGGAAGGGGAGTCAGGGGAGGGGCAAGTGACGCGGGGGAGCGGGGCGTCGGGGAGGGCAGCGATCCTGGTGGAGGAAATTTGGGAGGAGTGTCGGGGGGTCAGCAACTTAAAAGGGGGAGGGAACTGAGGCTAAGGAGACTTTCGGGAATGGAAGCGCAATGTATGAGGGGATACCGTGTCTCTGGTTTAAAAGAGCAGGAAGCTGAGTGAGAGGTTGGAGAAGCCTCTTTGCTTAGGCGGAGGTTACAGGTGGTATCTCGGAAAGAGCTCTGAGGCTGCAGGCTGTAGTCGTGAAGAGAATCAGATAACTGTGTGGAAGGGACAGCTTGGGGGTTAGCGACCTGGGGCGAGGGGAGAAGTTAGCTACTTTGTGAGGACTGGCAGGAATGTGCCTCCTGGCCCTCGGTGCTTCCCCCCTGGGGGGAGGCATCGTGAGGGACTGTGGAAGGCTCCTCTGAACGCTGAGCGGCGGAGGTCCAACTCCACGTATGGATCCAGGGAATAAGAATTCAGCCACAGGGGCTGCCGCGATCATAGACCTCGATCCCGACTTCGAACCCCAGAGCCGTCCCCGCTCCTGCACCTGGCCCCTTCCCCGACCAGAGCTCGCTACAGAGCCTCCCGAGCCACCAGAGGTGGAGCCAGGTCTGGGAGAGAAGGTACACACGGAGGGGCGCTCAGAGCCTATCCTGTTGCCCTCGAGGCTCCCAGAGCCGGCAGGGGGCCCCCAGCCCGGGATCCTGGGGGCTGTAACAGGTCCTCGGAAGGGAGGCTCCCGCCGGAATGCCTGGGGAAATCAGTCATATGCAGAACTCATCAGCCAGGCCATTGAAAGCGCGCCTGAGAAGCGACTGACACTCGCCCAGATCTATGAGTGGATGGTCCGCACTGTGCCCTACTTCAAGGACAAGGGTGACAGCAACAGCTCAGCAGGATGGAAGGTAACTGTGACACCCTTACCTCCGTCCCAATACCATTTGTCCCTGAGCCCCCTAGCCTTCTTACTTCTTACTCTGGGGCCCCTTTTACGCCCACGTTCAATCAAAAATTACACAAACATTTACTTAGGCCATGGTATATGCTGTGCTCAGTGAGCTTGATGCTGGAGGATCACAGATGAAAAAGACTGTCCTGGCCCCGCAGAAAATTGAATTCTCTGCATACTGCTCAACACTACCAGCACTTTGGCTTGGGCTGCCCCAAACGCTTATTTCCACAGAGAAGTCTTTATCCCATGTACAGCAGGAACTGTGCAGATTGCGCACACGGACCTCGCTTTTCCTCCTTCCCCCACCTCTCACCCCAAAACCTTTTCTCCCATTCCTGTGGGATTATTTGGATTCCCTGCTGACTCCCAGTACCTCAGTGTAGAGGTACTGTTATAGAACTCTACCCAAGAGTTGGAGTGGAGCTGCAAAAGGAAACAAGTGATATTCACCTGGTAAGGTAGCTGATCTTTCTCACTAAGGAAAAAGGGGGCTGTGAGCTGCTACCTGCCTTGGTTTACACTGTAATGTCAAGAAACTCCCTAGCGAGGAGCTATCCAAGTTTGGTGGGAGGTTGGGAGAGTTTTCATTTGCTATTGAGGAATATCAGTCATGGAAAAAGAGAGAGGGCCCTGACTTTAAAGCACAAGGTTGGGAGTTCCTTTGGCCTTCCATGAAGAAACCGTGTGAGTAAAGGTCTCATTAGATGTTCCGAAAACTTGTCCTAAGAAATTTGGGGTTCTAATCACAAAATCTGGTGGCTTCAATCTATTGACATCTTGCGCCCCCATAGGTGGTGAAGTCCGCATATAAGGAAGAGTTGAGCCGGCAGAGGGTCTTCCCATAGGTACACAAGAGCAACGGATCAGATCTGCTGTATCCCTAGGGGGTGGGCAGAACAGAAAAGAGAACAGCTGACTGAGACCCTTGGCACTATTTCTGGGTACACTGCCACGCCACAGTCTCAGCTCATAAAGAGCTCCCCTCCTTGGACCCAGCCTGCACAGCTGTTTTTCTTTTCCCTTAGGTTCATTTTCCAGGGTAGAAGAAATAAGCATGAGTTGTTAGTTGTGCTGTGGGAGTGCAGTCCCTCCTTATAATTTACACTTAGGGCGTTTTAGTTTACAAAGTAGTTTTAATTTTTTTTTAACTAATCTTCACAGCAGTTCTGAGATTCCACATCTTGCATATTAGGAAATTAGGGAATAGAAAGGTTAGGAAACAACTAATAGCAGTAGAATGAGGACCTAAATTCAGGTCTAAGTATAAATAATAAATCATGTGCCCTTCCTGTAGTCCATTCTGCCAAACTCTCTTCATTGGAGCGATGGCAAATCCGAGTCAGGCTGAGCCTGGGGCTTCCATGGTTGTCCCTCCTTACCCCCAACCCCACCCTACTCAAGGGGGAAGCCTCATGACCTGGACTGGCTTCCCTTGTGATGTGCCAAGGTTACTCCCACCCCACCAGGGGGCGGCACTCACTTAGGACAAGAAAGCTTGGTTTAGGTGGCTTGATGAGCAATTAGCTGTCACTCCCCTTCCCACAGGTAAGAATTACATAGGCTTTTAGGGAGCTGACCTCTCCAGGTAGGAGGCTGTACCATGTACTAGTTCCGAGACCCAAAGAAAAAGTTATGAACAAATAGACCTCGGGCCTCATGAGTACCGCATAGTAGGGAAAGGAATGGGCCTTCTCAGTAGACCCAGAGTTAGAGGACAAAAAGGGGGAAAACTATGGTGCCAGAAGCCACTGCAGTCCTCAGTTACTAAAAGTCCCAGCTGGATGGACAAGCATGATTCCTTGAGGGAACTAGGAGTGTCAATGCAGTCAGAGTAGCTGGGATACCATTACTGTAGGGTGCTGTGGAGACAAGGAGTTCTTTGGCTAAAGAGCGCTGGAACAAGAAGCTGCTTAAGCATCTTTCCCCAGGCAAAGGGTCTCCTGATCTAGAGCAGCAGTCAGAAACATACAAAGTGATTTCTGACTATCCATAGCCTCAGCCTCCTAGTTCCTCCAAGCCTTTCTGGGCTCCTCCCAAGTTTCTAATAGCTGAAGAGTTCCATGTGGGAGGTCAAATGCCTGTAAGGTTGGAGATCTTCTGCACAAATTCCTAAGGAGAAGTAGGGGAAAGGAGGTAGGAAAGAGAAGGGTGGGGGTGTGACACAAAAGGCTGGTGTAACTAGCCTGGGGCAACCAGTAAAAATGAGCTGCTTTGGAGGCTCATGAAGCTGTCAATCTCAGCCCCCTGGGCCCCTGGAAGTAAGAAACTTATCTCTAACAGAATAGCAACAGTGAAGGAGGAGGGGAGAACATGGACCTCCCAATACCCAAGGCTGTCAGGAGCTGAGACAGCCTTATGAGGGGAGGCTCACTACTGTCACCCGTCACCGGGGGCCATGCACCAATCAGGCAACAAATATTGATTATGGTCTGGGAGCTTGGCACTCTGAGGGGCACTGTTGGGGCTGCCTGAGTGAACAGCATGATCTGGGCCCTGGGTGCTTACACTTGATGGGACTGATGATGTGAAACTGTAAACAATACAATATAGATAAAAATTGTGTAGAGAAGATTTAAAATGCCCAACCAGAAATTTGGCTGCAGAAGTCAAACAACCACTCTCTAAAAGAGAGGGGATTTAAACTTGGTCTTGACACACTGGTAGAATTTAGAGAGGGGAGGTCCTTCCCAGGACAAGGAGGGAAGAAAGGAAGAATCTGCCTTGTGTGTCTGAGGCACAATGAGAAACCGGGTCTGAATGGAGTTGAGGGTGTGTCTCAAAGAAAGAGGTTGGAGCTGTGGAATGCTCATTCCCACCTGACCCTAGTTCTTGCAGGGTCAGAGTGTGTCTCCCAAATGCCTACCAGCTCCAGCTAGCAAGCCCCCCATCCCCCGAGACTTGGATGGAATACAGTGCTGTGAGCTTTTCCAGGGTGGGCACGGTGTCCTCTGCAGTAGGTGGTTACTTAGGTTGTCTGGTGAACCCCTGTGATGGGAAGTCTGTGGCAGGTTATCTTGGGATGGGAACTGTGTATGGTCTCCCCACCATTCTCCCTCCCTCCCTTTGCCTGCTTTCCCTCTGGACTTGACAAAGCTTTGCATCTCTGGCAATGCTCCCGCTGCATCCTAGAGAGATACTGCTGAGAATTGGCTGATAGCCACTGACCTTCCCTCCACACACCTCATGCTCCTTTCCTTCTGCCTCTGCCCCTCCAGAACTCGATCCGCCACAACCTGTCCCTGCACAGCAAGTTCATTAAGGTTCACAACGAGTCCACTGGCAAGAGCTCTTGGTGGATGCTGAACCCCGAGGGAGGCAAGAGCGGCAAGGCACCCCGCCGCCGGGCAGCCTCCATGGATAGCAGCAGCAAGCTGCTCCGGGGCCGCAGCAAGGCCCCCAAGAAGAAGCCAGCTGTGCTGCCAGCTCCACCCGAAGGTGCCACCCCGATAAGCCCCGTTGGCCACTTTGCCAAGTGGTCAGGCAGCCCTTGCTCTCGAAACCGTGAGGAAGCTGATGTGTGGACCACCTTCCGTCCACGAAGCAGTTCAAATGCTAGCACTGTCAGCACCCGGCTCTCCCCCATGAGGCTAGAGTCTGAGGTGCTGGCAGAGGAGGAAATACCAGCTTCAGTCAGCAGCTATGCAGGGGGTGTCCCTCCCACCCTAAACGAAGATCTTGAGCTGTTAGATGGGCTCAATCTCACATCTCCCCATTCTCTGCTATCTCGGAGTAGTCTCTCTGGCTTCTCTTTGCAGCATCCTGGGGTTACAGGCCCCCTACACACCTACAGCACCTCCCTCTTCAGCCCAGCAGAGGGGCCCCTGTCAGCAGGAGAAGGGTGCTTCTCAAGCTCCCAGTCTCTGGAGGCCCTGCTCACCTCTGATACACCACCACCCCCTGCTGATGTCCTCATGACCCAGGTAGATCCCATTCTGTCCCAGGCTCCGACACTTCTGTTGCTGGGGGGGATGCCTTCCTCCAGTAAGCTAGCCACAGGAGTTGGCCTGTGTCCCAAGCCCCTAGAGGCTCCAGGTCCCAGCAGTCTGGTTCCCGCTCTTTCTATGATAGCACCACCTCCAGTCATGGCGGGTATTCCTGTCCCTAAGACCCTGGGGACACCTGTGCTCACACCCCCTACTGAAGCTTCGAGCCAAGACAGAATGCCTCAGGATCTTGATCTTGACATGTATATGGAGAACCTGGAGTGTGACATGGATAACATCATCAGTGACCTCATGGATGGGGGTGAGGGACTGGACTTCAACTTTGAGCCAGGTACGGCACCTGCTAATCACAGTAGCATCTCACAACCTATATATGCTCCTAGGTGCCCAGCTAGTCCCGTGATCTGAGCAAGGGGGGAGATTTGGAACAAGAGGTAGCTGGAGCTCCTGGGGAATTGGAGAGAGGATGACATATTAGAGTGGCATAGTTTCCAGATGGGACCTCCAGGCCCCTTGGCAGAGATGAGCCTCTTACCGTGTCCTCCATTTCTTCTTCCCACAGATCCCTAAGCCATGACGGGAAGCTTTGTCCCCTGCACAGAGGAGGAGGCAGGCGTGCCCATACCACTCTTTACCCTTGACCACTCCCTGGGAATTTGGGACCCTGCTTTAGAGTTAGGTGGGGTCTGCTCACACAGGTGTTGAAATTATAAAGAAAGAGCTGCCCCATATAGGAACTATGGGGGTAGGGAAGGGAGAGGGGAAAAGGAAATGGCTTATTCTCACTGTGCCAATTAGGGTATGAGGCTGCCTCTCAGGAGTGTCCCTGGCTCCCCCACCCATTTCCACCCCCTGGGTTTTATAGCAGGGGCCGGCAATGCTGTTGGAAATGTGAAGTCACCAGTGGCCTTACCCTGCCTTTGGGAGCAGGATTTTTTGTAGTCTTATCTGAGCTGGTCCAGGCTAACTTGAGCCTGGGATTTTTATGCAGTGGCCCCTTAGGCCAGTGGCATGTGTGTGGGGGTGGGTGGGTAGCAGGGACCTGAAAAGGCCAAGGTCTTAGCAGTGGAGTGACTTGCCTGGCCAAATCACCCTTGGAAGGCTGCAGATAAGAAAGGCTTTTTATAAACTTTTCAAGAAGTATAAACACCAATATAGAGATTTTTTAACAGTGGCAAGGTGCTAGTGATGAGAATGCTTTTTTCTTTCTGAAGGCTTTGTCATAGTGACATGATGCAAACACTACAGACATTACTTGGGGAAACACAGGGAAGTGGGGGAGAGAACTCCAGGGAGGTGGGAGATCAGCAGTGGGGAGCAATATAGTGAGCAAGGGGAAGTGCTCCCACGTGTTGCAACCAAGTCTAGAACAAGGTCTGTGCAGAACTAGTTTGAAGTTTCCCTAAGGAAAAATGAAGCCAGGTACCCTCCTTCTGTCACTTTGTGCCTGGGAGTGTGTGGTGTTGGGGTGCAGCCACACTCTCGCCTGACCCACTGTGTGCTAGTGCTCAAGTGGGAGGGTGCATTGAAGGCCTGGAATTAGTCTGTGGCCTGGGAAGGGGGAAGGGGGAGATGAGAAGGGGGGAAGGATTTAGGGTGGTAAAGTTAGGCACAGAGACCTCCCTGTTCAAGGACCCTCACAGCTGTCTCTGCCCTTCTTCCCCTTGCCTAGCTACAGGGGTTACATGGAAGTGTGTGTGGTGACAGGCAGGGGGAGGGGAGGAACAGGGAATTGGGAGCTGGGGAGCTTGGCCAAGGGTCTGGGAAATGAGTGGGGATGGAGGGTAATGTGGATCAGATTTACTAGCACCTGCCAGGAAGGCCATCTGGGGTTCCTTCACCCCAGCCTCCAAAGCAGCCCCTCCCCGTTCTGTGCCCCCGCCTTCCCTTTGCATTGTCCCCTCCCCCGCCCCTGCTGTGGGTTCCCATCATTTCCTGTGTCAGTGCCTGGCCTACCCAGATTGTATCATGTGCAAGATTGGAGTGGGGAAGTGTGTCAAATCAATAAATGAATAAATTCAATAAATGCCTATAACCAGCTCTGGTTTCTGTTGCCTTGTTGCTCCTCTTGGGTATGGGGGAGGGAGGGGAAAAGCAAAGGGCTGGCAGGAGGGACTGCCCGGACACCCAGGTTGGGGGTGGGGGAATTTTGAAAGGGGGAGGTGGTGGAGTGTGGTGGTGGGAGGGAAGACTGATCTGCCACCTAACCCAGCAGGAGTAAGCGGGCTGTCCTAGGGCCTGTCAAGGGGAGGTAGTCTGTTTAGAGAGGATCCCACCCCCTAGTCTTTCCCTTAATGGTTCATTGTACTAGACTTCACACCTTTCCTCATCCACCACCAGTGTACTCACCCCTGCCCTCTCCTGCCATTCCTATTCACCCTCAGCCTCCCCGGTGTCTGGGCCATACTTGAGCCTTGGCACAGATGTTGGGAGAATGAATCTTTCTTGCAAAAAGAACCTCACATTAAATTCTAGAAATTTCATACTAGTAATACTGCGCTCACTTGGTCACTTTATTTTGTTAGCGATGTTTATTGTTTCTATTCAGAAAGTCTGCTCTGGTCCTAAAGAGCAGACCCCTGCCAGTGGGCCCCTCTCCATCTGATTTGGACTGGAAGAGGAAAGGGTCAGTAAGTAAAGAGGCCCCTGCAGGGAATGTTCTACAAACTAGGGCCAAAGGCAGGACAAAAGAGGTTGGAGGCAGGTCTTGGGGCATAGATGTTGGGTTTGGAACAGAAATTCTTACCAGATGGTCAGGGTGGAGGAAACTGATGGTCTGGTGGGGAATGGGGGGTGTTGGGACAGACCACATTTGGGCAGTCTTATTGGGACATTGGGACGTTGGCAGAGGATTCAACTGAAGTGACTTTCTTCGCTTCTTGGCTTCTAAGTATTTTCACTCGGCTCTTCTCCAGTGAGTCACATTGTGTATGCAGGGCATCTAGGAAGCAGGAAAAGGCACTCCCACCCTGAGGACTAGATACCTCACCTACCCATCCCGGCCCTCCCATCGTTGGCTGGGGAGTAACTGGGCCTAAAGCTAGCCTGAGGAGTGATCTGCAGGCACCCAAGCTTTGCCCTTTTCCATGGGAATTGGAACCAGAACTCCAAGAGAAAAAGATGAAGGGAAAGATGGAAATAATGGGAGTGGTGAGAGCCCCTGGAGGTACACCAAGAAGATGACAGGAGGGGTAGTAACAGACTCACACTCCATCTGGTTTGAGCTCAACATCCCTCCTAAAGTGGACCTAGACTCTACTCCCCTTTCCTAGGATTATGTGATCCTACCTGCCTTATTACTCCAGTCCCTCCCTAAATTCTCCATCCCCCAGCTATACTGTGCATGTTCCTCCTTCCTCCGTCTACTCCTTACCAAGTAGCTTAGGTTCTGGATTCTTCAGGAGTGGCACAAAAGCTTTGTAGACATTCCTGAGTCGGGTTCCTGTGAACACGGTGGAGTGCTATCCAAAGCCTGTCATGCAGGCTCCACCCACCCTTCCAAAGCCCAAGATTTTAAGACCTTAATGCCCAGCACTACCTGGAGCTGATGTACTTTATTTCCTTCTCTCAGGACCATCCCTAGGATTACGTGGGGGGCCTACTTTGTGTGGACCTAACCCATTGTCATAGAGGTGGTGCCCTTTCTTAGGCTGACTAGAGATGTTTAGTCTGGATTCAGTTGAGGGCCATTTTAAGGACAAGGTTCACAATCCCACTGGAGGGCCTTGCCCTTTCTGTGGGGAATGCTCCCAAACCTTTACCTGGTTTCCCACACTCCACCTTACAAACATAGTAGGTGCTTCGAGTTGTAAGGAATTTGCTGGCATAGTCTCCAGGGGTCTTCATCAGAAAAAGCATCTTCATTGTCCCCGTTTCATCACACAAATCGATGGTGTCTAGAGGGAGGCCACAGGGTAACTGGGGCAACTAAGGAAGGAGAGTGGGAGCAAAAGGGGCCAGTGGTCCTATCGAGAATGAGTTGAAGGAAGCTGCCAGGATTCAAGGAGCTATCTTCTTGCCAGCAGGAAGGTTTAGGGACCAGAGATGACCTTACCACTTCTGACCCTTGGCCATGAGTCCCCTCCCTGAACTCCTCACCTGTTTTAGGCAACGCCACTTTACTGTGGATGTAATGCAGCAACAGGAGTACAGAGCAATTAGTATTGACCAAAAACTGCTGATTATCTGAGAAAAGATGGGATGGGGCATGTGGCCCTTTTCTAGTTATACTATCCCTGTGATCTCCACTGCCCTCAACCCCCCCACCGGCTCTTCACACAGACTCCAGCTCTATGAGGCCCCTCACCTCCATGTTTGATGAAAATGAACATGCTCTCAAGATCTCACTCTTCAGGGAGAGGCCTGATGAGTCATGTAGAAGGAGGGTGTTCTAGAGGCCTTGGTGGGCCAAGTGGGCCCATAGGGTTGGGGACTGAAGAGGCAGATGGATTGCATAGGCTCAGGAGGCCCAGGTGGGGCGGGCAGGAGAGAGCTGTTGGCAGTTGTGGATAACCAACATCCCTGGGGGTGGGGTCTGAGGCTGCAGTTGAGGGATTATGAGGTCAGAAGTGGTATGTGTGGCAGGAGGTGGAGTAAGGATGAGAGAAGAACCTGGTTGGGGTCTGTAAAAGATTTGTTGGGAATGGGGACAACGTGGCAAATCTAACTCCAAGCTGGACCGGAAGGAGAGCAGGACACCTAGAGAAAAGCAAGTTTCTGGAACAGTACTCTTTTCTAGTTAATTTGTAGTACTTCTGCCTTCATAGCATGAGTCTACTACTCCTTTTTCCTACCCTCAGCACTATGCTGATCACACTTATTGCACCCCATGTTTCCCTTGCTCCCGTGCCCCAACAACAGACATTCTTTAATGATTATCAACAGAAACTTTATTTCTCATTGATTTGGGAATAACTGAAGGGTAGATGGAAAGAGGGAGGGAGGGACAGCAGGACGGCAGAAGAAACAATCCTGAGAGGAGGAAGGCTGGATTGGGAGGGATGAGAAACACATACAGGGCAAAGGGGCAATTCTCAAGTAAGAGATATTGAATAAAGGGGCAGTTATAGGGGGCATAAAATTCAAAATCAGCCATGGTGGGGCAAGATGAGCATCGGACTGGCTGGCTCCTCTGAAGGGAAGTTAGTATAATTTAGGGCTACAGGACCCTAGGGTTCCGTCAGAGTGTCAGTGCTCAGGTTTCAGGTGTCAGTGTGTAACACAGAAGAGCCCAGTAGGGGTAGCCCCCAGGCCTCACCCCTAGAGCCTCTCATTTTGGGGGAATCTCACTGACGTGACATAGCCGTTCACTGTAGTCTGGCTGCAGACTCTCCGCCAATCCTTTAGACACACCACTCCAGGCCTAAAGACAGATAACTCCAGGTCAGGGGTCAATTAGGGGCAGGAAGGAAAAGACTCAGACTCTGTCCCAAGGGAGCTCTCATGTCTGCAACCACTGTGATTATGGAAGGGGCATCTGCACTCCTGGGCCCCCAAGAACATTTTTTCCATCAGCTTCAACCCACCTATAATCAGTTCTTCTGTGTGTCTCTCTCTGTCTAGCCCATCCCCCAATTGATCAGCCACATCCTGACAGTTAGCTCAGCACTCCTTCCCTCCCCTCGGCCCCCAACGCCTGCCCTCCACACTGTCTGTCTGTCTTGTTGGCAGGCAGTGGGCAGTTGACAAACTGCGGTCTGCCTATGATAACGTTCTCACCGAAAAGTTCCCGTGGTATTCAGTAACCAGATCCTCTAGGCTCTTGAGGGTAGGAATTCGGGGCATGGCCCTGAGGGGGAGAAAGAGGGAGCAGCAGCACACTGTTTATGCTCTTCTGTTGCCCTTCTCCCCATTCTCCCACACTGAACAAAAGGATTCTGTATCCTCTGCGCCTGAAGCTTCTATGCATCACCATGCCCACTGAGGGTGATCCCTCATTCCTTACTGTCCCACCTTCTATTCCTGGAGACCCTGTAAGAACCCTCCTTTGCTATTCCCAGCATTCCCCCTTATTTTTCAGGGATTCTTGAAATCTCACCGTTCCAGCCAGCAGTACACACAGATGAGGCCGATAATCAATCCCATGGAGCTAAGGGGGATAAGCACAGCTTCCAATGCAAACAACGAAGGATTCTCTATAGAAAAGGAGAACAAAGAATGGACTTATATTTGTAGTGTCCCTATTACGTGCCAACATGTACAGAGCCCCGACTTAGTGCCAGGCTCTGTGCTAAACATTTCCCATATACATAATCCTCACAACTCCCAAGGCACTGGGGGTGAGGAGGGAACCGGGGTCTGGTGGGGAGCCAGTTACTATCTCCATTTTGCAGATGAGGAAACAGAATCAAGGAGGTAGCGTGGTGCTCAAGGTCAAAGAGGTAGTAAGTAGCAGAGACAGGTTTAAACCCTAGATTTGTCTGGTTCCAAAGCCATCTTCATTCACCATGCAGACTTTCTAGGAATACTGCAGGGAAACCTTATGCATTCTCTATCCACTTTGAGCACTCCTCAGCCTCCTTCTCAAGCCACCCCCTTCTCTGACAACACACCCATCCAACTCTACACAAAATAACCCTGCTTCCTGGGAGGTGGTGTTGAATGGTGAGGAGAGATGGCCCACAAACTTTGGGAGCTTAGGGGTAGGGAGATAGAGCAAAAGTCAAGTCGTTCTAGAAAGGTTGGGGTGCTGGGATCATGGATTGGGGTGATGTATTAGGCTCACTGTACCCTTTGAAGTAGTGCTGCCCCAGTGGATTGGTCGGCTCCATTCACTCCAATGCTGGGCACTCCCACAGAGTGGGTTATAGCGGCTCCGAACCCGGAACGTGTACAGTTTCTGCCCATCCACGCTAGGCAGAAAGAAGCTATGCCTATAGTCCACTGATTGTTCCTGGGGGAGAAAGAGGGTGAAGGAAAGATGAATGTCTGCAAAAGATGGAAGGATTAAAACCACTGTCCCTCCCTGCCAGGCCAGCATCATCTTCTGGTTCTTCCCAGTGCCCTCCTCCACTCTTGACTAATCAAGCCACACTACTTACTCCTTTCCCAAACTAGAATCTAATGCCTACTCTCCAGATCACCTGAAAGGCTTCCTTTGGTTTATCTACCTGTCTGACACTGGGAAGAGTATGGATAGGGAAACCTACGAGGAAAACTCACTGGCAATGATTGGCAAAGGTGCTGGAGGGGAGTAGAGGGTAGACAAGAGAACAGGAGATTGGGATCAGGTGCTCCTATTTGACTGACTGAATCCTTTCTTCCCCACCTGCTTGGCCTTAGCTGCTGCATCCGTATCTCTGTCACTCACAGTCCAGCTGCGGTCCCAGTCGCTCCGGTACTGCACCAGGTGCTCCAAACAGTGGTCCAAGTATCTGTTGCTCCAGCTCAGTTCTAGCTGGGATTCACTCAGGTTGCGAAGAGTTAGATTCTCTGGAGCCCAGGGGATCACTGGAGACATGTGTGCATGTGTGGTCATTCCCCTGACCTAGACAAGTCAGGATCCTGAAGGCAGTGCCACTGACCCTTCCTCCCTTCCCCATCCCAATCCCTCACCTCCTCCTTTTTGCACAGTACCCTCATGGTGAAGGAATACCACTCCATATACTCCAGTGCCCCACAATATCCCCGGATGCATGAGCCCCTTTCCAAATTACCCAGATCCTGCAGTTTTAGCATCTGTATGGCCTGCCTCTTGGGTTCCTGTGGGTCCTGAAGCTGGACAACAAATGTTTGGTAGAGATGGATCTCCTCTTTTTGCAACCAACAGCCAGAAGTTATCTCTTCAGAGAATAGATAGTGGCCACACTCCCGAACTTTATCATCATCTGAGTTCTTGTACCTAAAGAAGGGTTGGAAGGAACAGAAACAGTGAGTGAACTTGGGAACTACAGATATCCGCAGCCCAGACTCATCTCTTCTGAACTGACTTATGAGAAAATAGTGGGGAGCCTGGGATGCCAGCTACCCTCTTCCTTGGTCCCCATGCAGTCTCCCGCATTCAGCCCACCCTTCCTCCTCCCCTATGCATCCCCCTTCTCATACCAATAGTACAGAGTCAAATTGGTGGGCTGAGGCTCAGAGCTGCTGTTCCAAGTGCAATTCATGTACTCGACATTGAACACAAAACACTGGACCTCTGGGAGGGGCCGGATGGGAACACTGAGGGTCCCAGGGAGTCTAGAGGTAAGGAAGAAATCTAGGTTGGGAAGAAAATGAAGTGGGGAAGGGAAAGAGAAGAAATGATGGTCAGAAGAAGAAGCAGGGTGACGTAGGGAACCCTTCCCCTTGCCCTCCCCACAGTACTCTTAAATTCTGCCTGCATACTTGTAATGTCCAGTGGCAGGTTACAAGTTTCTGTACAGTCCCTTCCCATAGCCTCCCTCCTCACCAGTCCCCTCCAGTCCCAGGTTTCCCACCAGCTGTGATGTCTTCATTCCCAATGGGCGTGGGGAGCATTGCGTTCAGCCCCACCACCAGCAGAAGCAGCTGCAGGAATAAGAGGGATCTGAGTGGCAATGGTGGCTTCAACATGGCGCTTGCTCTTCGTTCCTTGGGTGTAGACTGTGTTGGGAACCTGGGCCCCTCACCCACTACCCCTCCCCACCCACACATTTCCTCCTGTCATAGCTTCCGGTGGAAAGAACCTTAGAAACCAGGGCTTTACAGAGGGTGTGGCAAATGTGTGCTATGACACAGGCTAAATCCTCTGGGAGATTAGGTGTTAATCAAATTTGGAAGTGTAACACCACCTCTGTTAAGTGGTGGTACGAAGAGACTAAGGCTGAGAAGGCTGAGTGTATGATACTATCACAGACTCAAGAATCCTCAAACCACCCAGATCCTGGGAAGGACCTGTTCATCGCCACCATCACCATTCCCAACCACCTTTTCATCTAACTCATTTTGTCGTATATAGTACAGGGTCTGGACCCCACTCCCCCCCCACTTTCCTATGCCATGCTTCTTCCTTGCCTCACTCACCCTGAAATCTCTGCCAAAGCTCTACTGTCTGAGCTGGATGGAAAATACAGACTTGGCTCCTATGGGCACATATATAGTTGTCTTTCTTCTGACCTAATCCAAACCAGAATATCCAATCCACCTTTAGCTGCTGCCTGAGTGGGGTCCCTGTTGAGACTTAGTGAGGAGGTCTAACTTAGAACTAGATTCTGGAAATGAAGGAACAATATCAGCTTCAAATTCATCTTCACCTAAATCTGCTTCTTCTTCCTGTGTTCCCTATCTCAGTTAATGATATAATCACCCTCTTGGTCATCTTCAATTCCTCTCTGTCTCTCACCCTGAGAATCCAATCAGCTGTCTTTCTGTGGTGTCTGGACCAGCAGTGTCCTCCTTTGCATGACCACAGCCACCGTGCTAAATCAGTCTTTCATTCCCTTTAGTCATAATTATTACTAGAACTCTTTCTAAAGGTCCCCTGCTCTCTGACCTCTTCATCTTCTTGCCAGATTGATTTATGTTCCCCCCAAAACACAGAGCTGATTGGAGACACTACTTACATAAATTGTTTATTCCATAAACATTTACCAAGGCTTTTAATATGTGCCAAGCTCTGTGCTTATGTTCTAACCCATCCTAATTTTCTGTGGGTTAAGATTCCTCAGGGTTACCTTGAATGTTACCTCCTCTGATAAGTTTTCCTCACCTGCCTGATCAGAATTCATTTTTCTTCCCACGGTGATTCAATCGCATTTTGTTACTGTTACTTTTGCTATTTGCTAGTCTTACTATTTCTTATTTCTTATTATTTGTTACTGCCGTTGTAGCACTGTCTTCTCATGAAGGCAATGCAGCCATAGAAAGAATACTAGCTCGAGTCACGAAAAAATCATCTTCACTCTGTTTACTCAGTACCTGTATACTATCAAGCAAGTGAAACTTCACTCTGAAAATCAGTTTTCTCACCCACAAATGGGAACAATAATCCCTAATTCAAGGGTCTGTTTGCGGATTCAAGGAGATAATGTCTGAAAAGCATTTGACATTTGATAGCAAGGGCTCTCAACCTGGAGCTCATGGACACTTAGGGGGAAATACACCTGATGAGTTTCAGGCGGTCTAATACTCTCGCTGGGAAGTAGCTAACATTTTTTCTGTCTCCATGTGCATTTTTCTGAGAAGGGCCGCAGCTGCCATCAGCATCTTAAAGGGTTTGTGAATCAAAAAAGGTTAAGAACCTTAGCACTAGGCCATAAAGACCTTGAGGCATTAGAGCCAGCCTTCCAGGGGTTTAACAGGTGCTTTTTTATGCATAGTTTCTAATCTTCGCAGCAGTCCTGTGAAGGGGGGCATTAGCATACCCGTTTTTCAGATGTGGAAAGCAAGAACCAAGGAAGTGGTTTGGAAAAGGCAGAGTTCTTAACCAATGCAAATACTATTGAGCGCCTATTCTTGGCCAAGAATTGAGCTGGGCGCTGGGAACCAGCTCCCGTCAGAGCTCAGCCCCGCGGCTGCCTCCCTCCTTGGAGGCTCACTCCCCAGCTCCGCGCAGGGTGGAGCGACGTTTCTCAGACACTCGCTGAGCAAACTCGTCTCTGGCCGCTGGCTTAAGGTTCTCCGGGCGCGGAGCTCCGCCCCACGACGGGCCGGGCCCCGCCTCCGCGCAGTCGTATTGTCCGACGGTTGCCGGCTGCCCTCGGTTTCCCTCGGTTGTTTCCGGCAATGGTCGAGAGTTTCTCCCTTGCCCCCTGTTGTCTCTCGGCTGCCGTCCTCGCACCCGCCTTCCCTCTCCTTAGCTCGCTCTTCGGCTCCCTCCTCCTCCTTCTCCTCCTCTTCCTCCTCCCCCCTCTGTCGGGCCGGCTGGCGCCTCCGGCGCCACGGGCTGGGCAAGATGGCGGCCTTCGGGATACTGAGCTACGAACACCGGCCGCTGAAGCGGCCGCGGCTGGGGCCTCCTGATGTGTACCCTCAAGATCCCAAACAGAAGGAGGTGCGTTCAAAAATCGGGGTTCGCCAGGGGCCAGGGCCCGGCGATCAACAGAGGAGGAAGCATTGATGGCTTGGGGAAGGGGGGGGCGGGGCGGTTTTGTGGGAGCGCAAGTCCCGAAAGGGAGAAGAGTAAAGTGGCCTGGTGCGGGAGAGTGGGACCTGGTGGCGGGTGGGAGTCCTGGCTGTGGATAGAGAACGATATAAGGGCCACGCTGGAGGCGCCCCCTTCTCCACACACACCCCTCAGAAAGTTGTCTCCGGCAGCTTGGTGAGCTAGGGCTGCTTGCAAGGGAAGAGTGATGTTGAGCGGCAGTGCCCTGGGTGGCTGGGAATCTTAGTGACTGTAGGGATGAGGGTGGGGTGGAGATGAATATAAGGGCCCAGCTTTCAGTAACAATCTGTTCTGCTCAGAATCTGCCCCCTACCTTTTTTCCCCGTTGTTCCCTTTTTTTTTTTTTTACCTGCTCTGGTCTCCCACCACCACCACCCCCCAAGAAGAAAAAAAGCTAAATTGTTGGGTTTTCTGCCTCAGGATGAACTGACAGCCTTGAATGTAAAACAAGGTTTCAATAACCAGCCTGCTGTCTCTGGGGATGAGCATGGCAGTGCCAAGAATGTCAACTTCAATCCTGCCAAGGTGAGACAACCCTGCTAGGCTGAACAAAAAGGCTGGAAGAATCTGAGGAGCAAAGGCCCTGGGTTGGGAAGACTTAAAGGGATGACCCAAACGGCTGAGTTTCCCTTCATAACCTAATGCTACCACATTAGCATTTGCTGCTCAAAGGCACGACCACCTCTCTGCCCCTTCTTCCCACCCTAAGGTGCAGTTTTCTTCCCTCAGATCAGTTCCAACTTCAGCAGCATTATTGCAGAGAAGTTACGTTGTAACACCCTCCCTGACACTGGTCGCAGGAAGCCCCAAGTGAACCAGAAGGACAACTTCTGGCTGGTGACTGCCCGATCCCAGAGTGCCATTAACACCTGGTTCACTGACCTGGCTGGCACCAAACCACTCACACAACTAGCCAAAAAGGTGAGGTACTGTTTCCTCTTCTTTGGGCCAAGGTGGTGACTGTGGGTACCAATTATCCCCCTATTCCCAGATTAAGCACATGGATGCCAGCTCGGGGTGGTAACAGAGGTCTCCCTATTTGCAATGTCCATCTAGGTCCCCATTTTCAGTAAGAAGGAAGAAGTGTTTGGGTACTTAGCCAAATACACAGTGCCTGTGATGCGGGCCGCCTGGCTCATCAAGATGACCTGTGCCTACTATGCAGCAATCACTGAGACCAAGGTTAAGAAGAGACATGTTGTTGACCCTTTCATGGGTGAGTAACTGCAAATACCAGGGATCCCACCACTACTTGCTTCAAGGAGTGATAGACCCTTGGAATTATTCTCCTTGCTCATCTGTATTCCTTGCCTCTGCTTTTATCTTGCATTCACTCACTTAGGAAATGAATATCTTGAGTATCTGCTGTGTGCACGTACTGGGCAACAAAGATGACTGGTACCTAATCCCTGCCCTTAGGATGCTCATAGTCTGGTAGGGATGCTAAGGCATATGCATGAATCACATAGTTAAATACAGAAAGTAGCAAGTGTCAAAGAAGAGGCAGAAGGTTCCTTGAGACTTCAGTGGACAGAAAGATTACTTTCTTTTGGGAACACCTAGGAAGGCTTTAAGGAAGGTGGCATTTGACTACAGTGAGGATGAATAGGATACAGAAGTATGGTGATTGGAGGTGCGGGACTATAGGTGTTGTAGGCAGAGGGACTGTATCAAATAGCCCTTTTCCCATCTCTCCCCTAGAATGGACTCAGATCATCACCAAGTACTTATGGGAGCAGCTGCAAAAGATGGCAGAATACTACAGGCCAGGGCCTGCAGGAAGTGGGGGCTGTGCTTCCACTATAGGGCCCTTGCCCCATGATGTAGAAGTGGCAATCCGACAATGGGACTACAATGAGAAGCTGGCTATGTTCATGTTTCAGGTAGGAAGCAGGACGTGTTTTGCAGGGCATGGCTTTGAGCCTGATCTGGCACTCTGCTAGTATAGAACAGAATTGCCTGCCACCTAGTCCCAGTTGTGGTTCTCTTTGTCCTTTCATTTACTTTGCCTGCCTCATCTCTGCTAGTCCCTGGGCTCACCTAATACCCTTCCACCCATAGGATGGAATGCTGGACAGACATGAGTTCCTGACCTGGGTGCTTGAGTGTTTTGAGAAAATCCGCCCTGGAGAGGATGAATTGCTTAAACTGCTGCTGCCCCTGCTGCTTCGAGTAAGGCCTAGGATTTGGGGGTGTCTAGGGAGGATTTGAGGAGGAATAAGACAGCAATATCTCTTGGAGAGAACTGGGGGTTTTGATCAACATGTCTTCACAGTACTCTGGGGAGTTCGTTCAGTCTGCGTACCTTTCCCGCCGCCTCGCCTACTTCTGTACCCGGAGACTGGCCCTGCAGCTGGATGGCGTGAGCAGCCACTCATCTCATGTTATGTCTGCTCAGTCAACAAGCACACTGCCCACCACCCCTGCACCTCAGCCCCCAGCTAGCAGCACCCCCTCTGCACCCTTTAGTGACCTGCTGATGTGCCCTCAGCACCGGCCTCTGGTTTTTGGCCT